ACACTTTGCTGCTTTAACTCTGTATAATTAAAGCAACAACAACAACAACAAAATCACAGAGTAGATGCAATTATACTGGTCATTGTATCTTATTTCCATTTAGGAAATGAAATAAGCCATAATTGTGTCTACACTAGGGCTTTTACCAGCAAAGTCATGTGAGCAAAAAAAAGAATCACATCCCTTACTGACAGTTATGCCATTAAAACTTTTTACATGTAGATCGGGCCACAATCTTCCTGTTAGTTCCATTAACCGTTGTTGTGAACTATGGGCATCTTCTCCTATTTTCAACCAATCAAGAGGTTGATGCTAACTGTCGAAGAAATTTTGAACTTCCATCACATGTTTTAGGGCTGCAGTAGATGTTCCTTTTTTTCCCCCCTCATCAAATTTTAAATACTGTACTGAACACACAAAATTTTGAATGACTACTCCGAAGAAATACTCCCTTAGCTTCATATCTGAGCAACTGGCAAAGACCTTTTTGTTACAATTTTCTCTACATTCTTGAGGGAATCTTCTACCATTTGCATACAATTATTCAGCAGTTTAAGTAGAACACACATTCCATCCATGGATGCTTGCCACCATTAGAGAGTCCTCTCTCATGTTTGACCAACCATCTTCCATTAATGTCAATGTTGATTCTTCTGGTTCTTCCTTTAACTTTTCCTCTATTTCTTCACTTGCAGCACATAGTGGTGGATGTGCAGGTTTAAGTCTAGGACAAAAATACATATCCAAGACAAAATACTTCAATCACTTCTATGTATTGCTCATGAAGGTGACATTATTAATATAAAAAGATGCAACTTTCTTGTCAAGTTCAAGTTATTTTAATGGCATTACTGCCAACTAATCTTTGACATTTTGAGGCATCAGAGTCACACAAAGACTATTCTGAAGTTGATACTCAGTAGTTGCTAGAAGATCCTAAACAGGATTTGAATTATCACAGCAACATTGCAATGACACCAAAGGCACTGAATATGTCTCACTTGCAGTTTTAAACTCAATGTTCTGCTCTTCCACTTCAATAGACAAAATTGCATTCAATGGCACATTTGATCTGGAAAAGTTTAAAGAAACCAATTTCTGCACTTTTTGAGATGAGCAAAAATCCGTTCTAATTTTCTGCCTAATAATCCTTGAAAATGTTTACATTTCACTTTAGAAAATGTCTCGGTTTTCATTATTTCAGTGCATTCAACTGCGTATTTCCTGACACTTCCTTCAACTTACTGAATCAAATAGATTCATTCAACAGTGTTTAGTAATCAGTAAATGCTAACTGCCTGTACACGGTACTGATCAACAGCTTTTGTACTTTCTAGTTAGGATGAGGAAAAGATGGAATTATTTCAATATACTCCCTACCTCAGTACCTTATTAAGTATTTTTTAGAAAATATGTTACATGCACAAAATATGCAAACTTATTTCTAAACCAAGTTTCAAGATATTGAAGGTGTTTCCCCTCTTTGAGTATTAAATCCATGGCAAGCTTCAAGTTTTTAAAAATTAAACCCTTTTTTGTTGAGTACAAAATAGAGAATCTGAAACATTTCTTAACTCAAAAAAAAAAAGTAATTTCACTAAGTTTTCTACACAGAATTCACATTTAGAATGAGCATAGAAAATTTCCCTGCAGAATTATTTCCCAAAAAGTTATAAACTCCTGAAAGTAGCAAAGTTAAAACTACAGCATAACTTAACTGCATGATTAGAAAGAACTGCATTATAATGTCGTTGATCTGCCACCTATAAATGTTATTTAAAAATATTTATATGTTTAACTTCTGGATTTATAAAGTTTTGCTAAATTTGGTTCCTGGTAACACAACATCTGTGGTCAACAAACTTTCTGTTTTTAAATTTCAGCTCAAATCCTGAAGGAATACTTATTTCAACACCACTCCCCCCCTTACCCTAATGACCCGGCCATATTTAGAATAGTAGGTATTTGAAACAAAGAGTATTTTGGGGCACTCAAAACAAGATAGAGCAAGACAGACAGACTTGCAGGATACGGCACCTAAGCAATGAGAATAAAGGTGAAATTATGGCATAGCAATGGGGAAGGGGCAGACAGTCATTTGTAGGAAATATTGATGAAACACAATACACTCACCCACTCACCATAATAAATTATATATTTTATATGTATATAGAATCCCAAAGGACCCTACAGTGCTTTCAATCTCACCACAAAAATGCAGCCACATCTGGGATGGAACAGAGCCATTTTTTTAAAAGCATACCACCTACATTATGCTATAGTTCAGTATAAAATGTAGTAGCATATTACATCCAAGTGAAATTTCAAGGGGAATTTAGGGAGGCAGAAGTTACACAGTAACTCAGGCTGGAGTCTGGCCAATACACAATAGCTAAATACTCATATTCTTCATTAAAAAGGCTGTAGGATCTTTAAAGATAAGTGGCTCAGGAATGTGGCTCAGTGATTACTGGTGGCACCCCAACCAACAGGACTGGGATATTGGTTCAGTGCTGACTCACACCACATACTAAACCACCAACACCTCTTCTTATAGGAGCACCCGGGTTCTTCCTGGAGACCTCCCATTCAAATCGCAGGGGCCAATAGGGTCAGTACTGTAGCTCTTCATCCTACTTGTTGTTCAATATATTCATTAATGATCTGGAGGATGGCGTGGACGGCACTCTCAGCAAGTTTGCAGATGACACTAAACTGGGAGGAGTGGTAGATACGCTGGAGGGTAGGGATAGGATACAGAGGGACCTAGACAAATTAGAGGATCGGGCCAAAAGAAACCTGATGAGGTTCAACAAGGACAAGTGCAGAGTCCTGCACTTAGGGCGGAAGAATCCCACGAACTGTTACAGACTAGGGACCGAATGGCTAGGAAGCAGTCCTGCAGAAAAGGACTTACGAGTTACAGTGGACGAGAAGCTGGATATGAGTCAACAGTGTGCCCTTGTTGCCAAGAAGGCTAACAGCATTTTGGGCTGTATAAGTAGGGGCATTGCCAGCAGATCGAGGGACGTGATAATTCCCCTCTATTAGACATTGGTGAGGCCTCATCTGGAGTACTGTGTCCAGTTTTGGGCCCCACACTACAAAAAGGATGTGGAAAAATTGGAAAGAGTCCAGCAGAGAGCAACAAAAATGATTAGGGGGCTGGAGCACATGACTTCTGAGGAGAGGCTGAGGGAACTGGGATTGTTTAGTTTGCAGAAGAGAAGAACGAGGGCGGATTTGATAGCTGCTTTCAACTACCTGAAAGGGGGTTCCAAAGAGGATGGATCTAGACTGTTCTCAGTGGTACCCGATGAAAGAATAAGGAGTAATGGTCTCAAGTTGCAGTTGGGGAGGTTTAGGTTGGATATTAGGAAAAACTTTTTCACCAGGAGGGTGGTGAAGCACTGGAATGGGTTACCTAGGGAGGTGGTAGAATCTCCTTCCTTAGAGGTTTTTAAGGTCAGGCTTGACAAATCCCTGGCTGGGATGATTTAGTTGGGAATTGGTCCTGTTTTGAGCAGGGGGTTGGACTAGATGACCTCCTGAGGTCCCTTCCAACCCTGATATTCTATGATTCTACTGTTTTCAAAAATTATAGCTTTACACCTGGGAAATAACTATTAACCACTTAAGATGAAGGGGGGGGAAATGACATTCTGGCCCTCTTCACTGAAGAGTCTTGACAACGTAAACCCCTGCTGGCTTGGTGAGTCTGCAGTCAAGATTGTTAAAATACAACAGCACCAAGGGAGCTTTTTTGTAAACTTTTTTTAAAACAAAAACTTCTATTCTAATAAATGCTTTATAAATCTATGGGAAGACATATTAATGAAATGTATAAGTGTCTCACCGATGTGAGCGTCTATTGTCTTACGTCACAAATAAGAGGCATCAGTGAAAATCAACTGTACATTACTCAACATAAATACGAAATTATGGCTTGGTGAAGAGGAAAATCAAATGAAAAAGTTTCAGCACCACAGAAGGGGGGGGGGGGAGGAGATAGCTCAGTGGTTTGAGCAGTGGCCTGCTAAACCCAGGGTTGTGAGTTCAGTTCTTAAGGGGGCCACTTAGGGATCTGGGGCAAAATCAGTACTTGGTCCTGCTAGTGAAGGCAGGGGGCTGGACTCGATGACCTTTTGGGGTCCCTTCCAGTTCTATGAGATAGGCATACCTCCACATATTTAATAATGAACAGCCTCCAAAACCCATTCACAAATATCACAAAAGGTCCTCACAGTCCATCCAACAATATCACACCAAAATACTGGAAACCCAAGTTGTTGTTTTAAATATCTGTTTACTAATACTACTGAATGTGACTAAAACAACAATATTTAAATTATAAAAATGTTTTACATATAGAAATTGCTAGACTGGATCAGACCCAAGATCCATCTAGACAGGTATCCAAACTCTGACAGCAATCAGTACCAGATGCTTCAAAGGAAAATGTAAGAACCAAACAATAGGTAAATATGGGATACACTGCTCCCCCCCCACACACACACCTTAGATCTCATCTTGATCACTAATAGTTAGAGATTAGCATAAACCTTGAAGCATGAAGTTTAATATCCCTTCCATAATTATTATTGTTATCCATCCTAGCACTTTTTTAATCTTAGTGAGTTTTTGGTCTTAACTACTTGTGGCAATGAATTCCACAGTCTAATTACATGTTCTGTGTAAGAGTATTTCCTTTTTTCAGTTTTGAATTTGCCACCTTTTAATTTCATTGAATGCCCCTTGTTCCTGTGTTATGAGGCAAGGAGAACAAGGAAGCACAATTAATTTCTTACATGCAGATCGGTTTTCTGTTTGAAGAGTCAGAAAGTGTATTCTGTTACATTACTATCCGTTCACCCTTATATAATCTCCTTGGGGCTGTCCCTGTTCATTTAGGAGCAGGAGCCTGATTTCCAAGCTGTTACTTTCCCTGCCTCCAGTACGCACCTCGCCCCGTGTCCAGACTACAGGTCCACATTAAGAGTTCTATTTCCTCTGCTTCCACTTCATTCTGATCGTCCGCAGCTTCTGCCTAACTCAGCGGGGCTTCAACCCACTGCTGGGCTACCAGACCCTTTTCCTGCGGAGGTTCCAGCCCGGCGCACGGCTCTTCATTCCCTGGGAAGCAGGTTTCTCCCCTCCTCCAGTATAATCCCACGGGGCATAATTCACGTTGTCCGGGACCAGACTGCCCATACTTGTGCCGTGCCCCGCCCCCCTCCTCCTCGGACAGTGACACACAACGGGATCCAGTGTCTCCAGGTATTTGTTAGTCCCCAGCCTGCCCCATTACTGATGTACCGCATAAGGCTTGGCCCCCTCTTCCCCAGGGTGGGCGCGGCCTGGGCCTCTCCGGGGGCCTCTCCCCGAGGGCCCTGTTCCCCTGCCGCCAGCCCCGGCGCCTCCATTGTGGCACGTCCCCCGCCCCGTGCCTTCAGTGGCAGCGCAGCGCTCACCTCCCCGGCGGGGCTGCGGGCCGGGCCACGGGGCTCGGCGACTCCTCCCGCTGCAGGTAGCGTGCCGGCCCCCGGAGCGGCTCGGCTCCGCCCGCGCCTCCTCGCTCCTGCCTCGGCTCCGCGCTCAGGCTCTGCTCGGGGTCCGCCTCAGTAAGCGTCCCCCCGGCCAGCGCAGCGAGAGGATCCCCGGGCGGCAACAGGCGCCTCCGCAGCAAAGGTTCCGCGGGGAGGAGAAAGGTTCCCACCTCCCAGGGGGCGGGAGAGCAACAGGGCCGCGGGAGGCAGCAGGAGCCCCCTGGAGGGAGGCGCCTGGTGTTCTGAGGGAAGAATTCCTGCTGGGCCTAGTGTCCCAGCGGGAGCCAGCTGAGACTCCTGCCCCCCTCCACATGGCCACACCCAAACTTTGCCACAGAAGGGGGAGACTTAGCTCAGTAGTTTGAGCATTGGCCTGCTAAACCCAGGGTTATAAATTCAATCCTTGAGGGGGCCATTTAAGGATCTGGAGCAAAAATCTGTCTGGGGATTGGTCCTGCTTTGAGCAGGGGGTTGGACTAGATGACCTCCTGAGGTCCCTTCCCACCCTGATATTCTATGATTCTAAGGGCTGGGTGGCAATCAGGCCTGGAACCAGAGGGCATCACCTACCATGCAGATAAACATCCGTCCCCCATCTTGGACCCACACAGGCCAAACACTTAAATCTCTCTTGGTTGTTTATTAGGAAGTGCTGGCTGCTTGAGTTCACGTTGGACTGCAAGTGCCTATTGCTCAGATCTGGCCTCACACTGCAGGTTCTGAGACAGCAACTGGCTGCATGTGACAATTCAACAGACCTCATGTGCCCTGGGAGCATTGCATTTTGAATATCTCTGCTCTGTAAAAACAATTCACCCCATCACATTAGCTCTGGCTCCACAGCCCCAAAGATGCACTTGACGCCTAATGATAGCTGAGTGGTGGGGTCAAGTTAACCCCTATAATTGCTGAGAGGCAAGACAGAAAGGAAACGCGCTGCCACTATTCAGAACCAATGTCCATTAAGTGCAGGACTGAGAGCAGGAAACTGTGAATTACAACACTTTAATTCCACCTAGGGGCTGGATCTGGTAATGGCAGACTGCTTATTTCTAGCATTACCAATGTTGCCTTACATAGCTCCCATGAACTACTGTGGCTTAGGTGTCTTCACTTCTCTGAAGTACAGAGTCCAGTTGATGGTGCATCCCAGAATTGTCATCCAAATGATGTTCTCTAGGAAGTAAGTATTGCATTTGCATTGAACCAGTGATAAGACTTTATTGTGCTGCTTTGGAGTGTGATTGTAGCAAACAGCCAGGTACTGCTATTATTTAATAAACACCTAGGTGCTTGTGCCTGTAACATATAAACTGGGCCCAAGCTGGAAGACCAAGTAAGCAAGAGTAAGCCCCCTAGGTTTACTATGGGCCATATTGTATAAACTATGCCGTGGGACTGTCTAGTTTGTATCTTGTACAGTACTAAGCTAGGCTTCCACTAAAAGGGAAAAAAAATGACAAAATGAACTGCTTGTTCTGGAAATCAAGTTGGCAGCCTCTCCAATATCAATGTAGCTCAACCTCTTCTTCCTTTACAGAGGTCAGATACATTCCAGAGATGGAGGAGCCAAGGAAGGAGGAAAAGCAGCCTGAGAACAAAGGGCCTCAGACCACAGAAGGGCAGACACAAGAGTGCCTCATAACGTAAGTGGTGTGTCCCAGGAGGTTCTTCAAAAGAATAAATGAGAAGTATTACAAAGAGGCTTTACTCTCTTCCCCGCTAAACACACACAAATCAGAAACAGACCTGTAAAGGATTTATCTCCCATTTTACAGAAATAAGATAAACCCAACATAAAGAAGAATTATGGCCCCTCCCCCCCTGCACAATGAGATGCAGAGTGGAGCAAATAAGTTAAATGAGACAGGAAAGCCCCAAACAGAAAGGATGGTGAGGAGCTATTACATTCACAGTGGAAAAACAATATCACATTTTATACATTTGTTCCTACATTGGCAGATTACTGTATTATGAAGTATGGCCCAGTGGAGGGTTGGCTTTTTCAGGGGGCTATTCTTGTAAAGCATACAGAGATACAGATACTGATTTCTGTAAAGCCACCTAGGGACTGCAGGCAACAGTGCAAGGCTATATCATTCATTACTCTCTCAAAGTACAAAAAGGTGGAAAGCAACTGCCCCATCAGGCTTTCTCCCTACTCACAGCTGCCGAAGCAATATCTTACAGAGTGCTTCATCATAGTCTGATGACAGAAATAGTTGGGAAAGATCTTCCAGAAACAAAGTGTGGGTTTAAGAGAAGGAATCACTGCTTATTTGCTAGTTGTTGTTCAGCCTTTACAGGCAAATATATAAGGAACAAAACCTGGACCTGTATTATAGCAGGGACCTAGCAGTGACTACTATAAGGTTGTGTACCATTTTCCATTCTAAGCTCCTGTTATTGCTTGCTCATGACCTTCACCTTGGGAAGGATGCACTACATATGCATGTGCAGCTGGCTTCACTTTGCAGTGAGCTAATCAGTCACCTAAATTGTAGGCAATGACTTAGCTGGCTACTGGGGAACTGCAAGGAGGAAAGGTGTGGAGAAATTCCCCTTTGTAAGGCTGTAGAACTACCCTGCAGCTGCTACTCCAGCCTAAGTGCTGAAGTAGACTCTGTGGCCCTAGCACACGCAGCCCATGCACATATGAGAGGAGAGGTCCAAAAGATTTGTGTAGCAGTAGATTCTTCTCTGGCAGTCTCATGTTCCAACTACTCACTGTTGTGCAGTGGATCCATGCAGAGATACATTGTTCCATATGTTGGGAACTGAAACTGTACAATGCACTTGCAAAACTTCCCTTTCTATTAGTAGCAATATCCCTTAAAGCAGCTCTCGCTCCATCCCAGAGAGCATTCTGGGAGTGTCATCTCTAGGCCAGGGCACTGTTGCAGCATGAGATGAATAGGATAATGAGTTAGCTACCTTATCCATGTGACTACAGGAAGCAGAAGGGAGATCATAGTTGCTGCTGCTTCTGAGTGGAGACAATGTTCTGTCATGCAAGGTTGGGGATTGTGGAGATCAGCAGCTCCAGCAAGGCAAAGAAGCTCTGTTTGGCAGTTGCTATCTCTTCTGTCATTACAAGTACTGTGGCCCTTTCTGATGTCTCTGTGTGCATCCTGTCGAAGTCCTCACACTTCTGTTTGCTACACAAATAAGCCACCACCTCTTGCAGCTCTCTTACCAGCTTCCTGAGAGACTCCACTAACAGACACCTCTTACACCTAGTGGTTCTCCCTGCCTGGCTTTTGCTGGCCTCCAAAGGCAGTTTGCCTGTCTGACAGGGGGAGGCAGAGGAAGAGCTAGCAGTGGTGTTGGCAACATGCCATTTTCCTCCCATGCTGGGTTCTTCCTGTACCTTCAAGCTAAGGAAACAGAAAGCAACACAAGTCTACCTCCTTGCCTCCCTCCAGTGGTGAACATGGAAAATCCCCAGTGGAAGAACAGAAAGAGAAAATGTCAGACTATTTTCAGAAGAGTCAAGCAAGCTGTCTAAACAAAGGGTGCTATTCCATCACTACAAACAGAAGATACAGCTGGAGGAGGGGGAGCAGAAAGGACTTTTGCCTTTCCCAAAGACCTGACCAAACCCGAAGACTCTCGGCAGTGGTGAGAACTCCAAAGGGGGATGGCATTTATTGTTTGTTTTGCCTAGATCCATAACTCTCCTGTGCTGTCTAAGAATTAAATATATGTGTTTAAGAAGTTCCTTTGCAAAGTTTGCATTCCTTGCTTTAACTGCCACATGGTCCTCAATGGATTAGGTGACCACAGCTAGATGGGACTCTGGGAGAATGTGCACAGAACTGGAAAGATTTGGGAGCTTTGGGGCCTACAGCAGTTCAACTACAGAGTCCTGCATCCTAGGAAGAGGGTCACACAAAATAGAAGTAATAATAATGCTTTTGGAGCCCTGCAGTTGGAAGCAGTGATTGACTCTGCCTAGACCCCTTGGGCTTAGACACACATGGGATTCAATGGTTGGATCCAATTATAAACAGACTGGTGACCATCCACGTTGGGAACTCAGCCAGAACTGTGACACTGAATTACTTTGTTCATTTGAGACCTGTACCTTAGTTTTAATTTAGACTATACTAAATTATACTAGTGAGGATGCCTAAAGGTATGAATGCTAAAGTAGGGAGCAACAACATTGGTAGGGAAGTAATTATGAGGAAACAAGCCCTCGGTGAAATGAAATAAAATGGTGAAATGTTTGCAGATTTTTGTGGAATGGACAACACGGTATCATATCATATCATACTTTAGTGACAGCACATCTATAATCACTTAGGTAACATTCTGGTTGGCATGCTGCAGTTGTGTCATACTTTTTTTTTAAACCTTCAGAAGTAAATGCTGTACCTTCGGTGGCATTTCTAAGTTCTTTGTATATTGCAATCAGTGATTTATGATCTGTTTCAGCTTTTAAGCTATGACTGTACAGCCACATGCAAGACCTTTCCAAGAGGTCTTGAAATCAGGAAGGCCAAATCACACTTGGAGTTGCAGCTAGCAAGGGATGTTAAGAGTAACAAGAAGGATTTCTTCAAGTATGTTAGCAACAAGAAAAAGGTCAAGGAAAGTGTGGGCCCCTTACTGAATGAGGAGGCAACCTAGTGACAGAGGATGTGGAAAAAGCTAATGTACTCAATGCTTTTTTTGCCTCTGTCTTCACGAACAAGGTCAGCTCCCAGACTACTGCACTGGGAAGCACAGTATGAGGAGGAGGTGACCAGCCCTCTGTGGTGAAAGAAGTGGTTCAGGACTATTTAGAAAAGCTGGACGAGCACAAGTCCATGGGAGCGGATGCTCTGCATCCGAGGGTGCTAAAGGAGTTGGCAGATGTGATTGCAGAGCCATTGGCCATTATCTTTGAAAACTCATGGCGATCGGGGGAGGTCCCAGATGACTGGAAAAAGGCGAATGTAGTGCCTATCTTTAAAAAAGGGAAGGAGGAGGATCCGGGGAACCACAGCCTCACCTCAGTCCCTGGAAAAGTCATGGAGCAGGTCCTCAAGGAATCAATTCTGAAGCATTTAGAGGAGAGGAAAGTGATCAGGAACAGTTAGCATGGATTCACCAAGGGCAAGTCATGCCTGACTAACCTAATTGCCTTCTCTAATGAGATAACTGTCTCTGTGGATGAGGGGAAAGCAGTGGAAGCGTTATTCCTTGACTTTAGCAAAGCTTTTGATACAGTCTCCTACAGCATTCTTGCCAGCAAGTTAAAGAAGTATGGGCTGGATGAATGCACTATAAGGTGGACAGAAAGCTGGCTAGATCATCGGGCTCAAAATGGCTCCATGTCTAGTTGACAGCCGGTATCAAGCAGAGTGCCCCAAGAGTCGGCCCTTGGGCCGGTTTTGTTCAATATCTTCATTAATAATCTGGAGGATGACATGGATTGCACCCTCAGCAAGTTTGCAGATGACACTAAAATTGGGAGGAGTGGTAGGGATAGGATACAAAGGGACCTAGACAAGTTAGAGGATTGAGCCAAAAGAAATCTGATGAGGTTCAACAAGGACAAGTGCAGAGTCCTGCACTTAGGATGGAAGAATCCCATGCACTGCTACAGACTAGGGACCGAGTGGCTAGGCAGCAGTTCTGCAGAAAAGGACCTAGGGGTTACAGTGGACGAGAAGATGGATATGAGTCAATAGTATGCCCTTGTTGCCAAGAAGGCTAACAGCATTTTGGGCTGTATAAGCAGGAGCATTGCCAGCAGATCGAGGGACGTGATCATTCCCCTCTATTCGGCATTGGTGAGGCCTCATCTGGAGTACTGTGTCCAGTTTTGGGCCCCACACTACAAGAAGGATGTGGAAAACTTGGAAAGAGTCCAGTGGAGGGCAACAAAAATGATTAGGGGGCTGGAGCCACATGACTTATGAGGAGAGGCTGAGGGAACTGGGATTGTTTAGTCTGCAGAAGAGAAGAATGAGGGGGGATTTGATAGCTGCTTTCAACTACCTGAAAGGGGGTTCCAAAGAGGATGGATCTAAACTGGTCAGTGGTACTCCAGAACAAGGAGTAATGGTCTCAAGTTGTAGTGGGGGAGGTTTAGGTTGGATATTAGGGAAAACTTTTTCACTAGGAGGGTGGTGAAGCACTGGGATGGATTACCTAGGGAGGTGGTGGAATCTCCTTCCTTAGAGGTTTTTAAGGTCAGGCTTGACAAAAGCCCTGGCTGGGATGATTTAGTTGGGGATTGGTCCTGAGAGTCTATGATTCTGTGACCTAGCATCCCTTCTGTGATTTGCACTTACATTTTCTCTGCCACTCTCAAAGCTCTCACTCCCATAATGTCTACTTGTAATGAATAAAGTCCCTCGTCTCTGTAGCACGACAACTCCAAGCCCTCCTTCTGAATCATCTGTGCAGAGATGGATTTCTTTCAGCAGTACCAAAGATCTTCAATTCTCATGTAGTAGTCAGTATTCTCTTCAAATCCTTGACCTCTCTCTCATCTTCTGGCATCCTGGGATACTGTCTTTCTAAAGGAGTTTTCACAGGTAAGTTTTTCAAAGTAGTTATGAACTTACTGCCATAATTCAACTTTCTTTGCAAATCTCTGAGTCCCACCACAGTCACTGTCATTTGACTTTTGGAACAACTTGACTCTATTCCTATGTGTGCTCAGTTCCTCTCCAAAGTAAGCAATTTCAGTTGTTTGAAACTGACATTTGGTTTTGGTTGGTATAAGATTGGTTTTTTCTGCAATTTCCAGTGTTCTCCATAATCATTCCTGATGTTCAGTAGGGTGCTGCTGTAGGCTATTATGTTCTTAAGGTACATTTTCACTCCTGCAAGACGTTCGTTGTTTGATTAAATACTTCTGGGGCTGGGCATACTCCGAAAGGCAAGTCACAAGAAGCAGTATCTTCCTACTGTTGCATTAAAAGAGCAAATATTGGAGTTGTCTGTGTCCATGGGAACCTGCCCATTAATCTAAATGACTGAAGAATTTAGCTCCTGATATCTCAGCAAACATTTCACTTCTGGTGATCAAATGGGAAAGCACTTTTAATGTTCTTGTCCAAGTTCTTTGAGCACAATGTAGAATCTAAATCTATTCTCTTTGTTCTCTATTATTGCTAAGTAAGTGAACATGTAGTTTCTTTAGACTTCTTGAGGTAGGTAAACCTTTTACAGGATAAAAGTTCTCTAATTCAATTTTTAGTATTCAAGGCATCAGCATTAAAGCCTCTGTGTCTAGGACTTCTAGCTGGTGAATAGTATCGCTCCTCTCCCAAGCAGTAGCAGATACCCAGTTCCCAAGAAGCATCTCTGATTCAAGAATTGACTAGTTAGATTGAGGGAGAGAGCAACTCCTTTGAGGCTTGCCAAAGTTCCCCCCAAAATACCTTGTATCACAAAACTACTATCGCCACAGCATTTTCTTCCAAGCCTAAAAACTTGCTCATGCCCTAAAGAAAATTGTAAGACTATCATTATGGCACTGTTAACTCCTGCCATAACAACAGTATTATGGGGGGGGATGGGTGTTAACTTTGAATTATAATAGCCCTCCATGTAGGTGCTATTATTGATGGGCCCACCAGTGCAGGTGATATTAATTACTTACATAGGTCCTTTCATCTCAAAAGCCTTTAATTATACACACAGCATCACTGAAATGCAGACACCCCCATGCACCAGCTGGCTGCCACACTGAAGCCAACATACTGCACAACAGAGGGGAGGATTTTGGTGTGCACCTGTGTGTATAGCCCCCACTCCTAGCTGGGCTATCAGGCATCTTATGTGACACCCATGCCAGCAGCCCCCACTATGCTTTCCTGCAGTTGTGCTATTCTGTCACACTGCTGGTTTGGCTGCAGGGAAGTTCAGGCAGTTACTTGCATTTTTTCCTCCTCCCTCGGGCTGCTATGTCTATAGAGACTTGTTGAACAGGCAGCCCATCTCCCTCGCTGTTCACTGCTCCCCAGGTTAGATCTAAGTGGAGAAAGATTTGTTAGTTATTTGTTAGTTTTTTAGCATATGTAGGGGATCACTTTCTGATTCCGAAAGTTGAGGAAACAACTAAGGGATCGTCTGTTTTGGATCGGGTGTTGTCCAACAGGGATGAATTAGTTGCAAATGCAAAGTGGTTGGGAACTTGGAAGGAAGTGATCATGATCTGATAGAATTTAAGATCCTAAGGAAAGGAGGAATAAGAACAAAACAAGGACACAACTTCAGAAAGACAGATTTCAGCCAACTCAGAGAAATAGTAGGCAAGGTCCCATGGAAAGACCAATTAGGAAAGTAAAAGAAGTAGTTAGAGGCAAAAAGGCATCCTTTAAAAATTGGAAGTTAAATCCTACTGAGGAAAGTAGAAGGGAGCATAAACTCTGGCAAGTCAATATAATTAGGCAGGTCAAAAAAAGAATCTGAAGCGCAACTAGATAGACTCAAAAACTAACAGCAATTTTTTTAAAAATACATCAGAAGCAGGAAGCCTGCCAAACAATCAGTAAGGCCACTGGATGAGCAAGGTGCTGAAGGAGCACTCAAGCAAGACATGGCCATTGGAAAGAAGCTAAATGAATATTTTGCATCAATCTTCACTGCAGAGGATTTGAGGGAGATTCCCACACCTGAGCCTTTCTTTTTAGGTGACAAATCTGAGGAACTGTCCCAGATTGAAGTGTCAATAAGAGAGGTTTTGGAACCAATTGATAAAACAAACAGTA